AAAAAAGCTATATACATGATTATTATTAAAATTCACAAAGGCGGCAATTGCATCTTTCATTGTTTAAAAAGTTACTGAAGTCGCGTTTCCGTATTGTTTTCTTAAATGTATTAAGAGACTGAAAGTTTCTTTCATCGGTCGTCAGGTAATTCCGTATCATGTAACCGGATCGTGCAAAGGGAGTGTCACCGACACTCTGCCAAAACCTCGAATTCTTTTGGCTAGAAATCTTAACACAAATATAAAAGCTAACCGCAATCAATTTAAGCTTATGACTATGTATGCTAACCGGAGTGCTCATTAGGCAGCATTCACTACAACAGAGTGTTACGTGGTGTAATATGACATGAGCTGTCACACTAGTCACTCACACGGTCTGAGGCGATGTTATGTAGTGATTTCCGACTGACACTCACAACGCAGCCTCACCTCGTTGCGGCGTTTGCTTTATTACCTTTTTCAACTTAAACGTAAACAGTTCCTTGCCGAAGACGCCCAATACTTTTAGTAGGGAGCTTTAACCCACGACGACGACGGCAGCGAGAACGTCACCAAACAAGAGGTTTAATGAGCAAACCAATGGCTGTGCACGTGCATTAAAACTCTTTGTATATCTCTTTGCCGTCCTCTGCAAAACAACATGAAATGACCAAATTCTGCGTCGTCTACTGAACGTGGACGACGGCTAATTTTTCGTATTTCCATTTGGAATTGAACTATGTCATTGCATATTTAGCCTGAGCACGGTTTTAGAGCCATTGGCGCGCCGAACAGATCTAGACAATCGCGAATTTTGCTGGTAAAATATAAATTCGTTTTCTACTAGGCGTCGTCGCCGTCGTTGCTTAAGCTCCCTAATTACGGCACACGTGGACGTTTCACAAACTGAGCTTCCTAAAATATGGACGTGGCTCTCCTTCCTCTCACCCACGCAGTAGGCTGACATTGCGTAACGAGCCAAAAAATTCTTCAAGATTTTACCAGACCGACTACATTGAAGAATTCATCTTTATTGACTCACATTTCACAATGACAATATAAAGTCGGTTTTACAACCTGAACAACACCTCATGGCCTTTCACTGCTAACAGTTTACAAACCCTATGATTTAATTAGCTATGACACGAGAGCAGCTACAAGCTGAAATAGTTGCACTGGATATTACAAGCGGGAACACTTTGAATTCAGTGTAGGTGATTCTGCATTTAATTATCTTTATTTCATGTAATTTTGCAACATAAATCATGAAAGACAAAGACCAGGTCTTTGATTCTTGTATGCAGTCTCCTTTAATTTTCAATGTGAGAATAAATTACAGCTTTCAGTCGTTGTAATTGTAACTGCAAGGCAGTCATAACTTCTTACTGAGATCTCCCTTAAAAAATACATTTTCTTTTTTTTTAATTCCTAGTAGTAATAACTAAAAGAAATGACGGAGAAAATGAGATTTGATCATAGCAACAAAGATGACCCAATCCAGTGCAACTCTCCAGATAGTTTACTGCAACTGCAAGCACGTTTATCTTTTTTTACATTTAGACAACATGATATAGCAACACTATATGTCGATATTATTATTCACAATTACAGAAGCGACAAGATCGCAGAGATACAAATTAGGGGAAAGAAAAATGCAATGTGCGCATTATAATTGGCAGAAATCTCTCATAGTTTTCTTTCTTTTTATAGTTTTGCTTCAAGGATTCATTTGCCTCTGCCAGGGGGTAAATTATTCAAGTGAAACAAACACATAAATCACATCTCCTCTTAATCCTATAGATTATTAGATTCTGCAACAATTTCTTCTTTTTTTTTTACATTGATGATTTCATTACAATGCACAACTTTTGCTGGCAAAAACCTAGACGTTCCCTTGCGATAAAAGGTGGCCCAACCTTCCCTTTGATTAAGTGTAAGTGGAATGTCACAAATTCTGTCTTAGGGGTAAGATCTACAATAACTTGTTGGCGGATGGAGCAATGACAACAATGATGGGTGCACCTAAGAGTCGTATGCCGTCCAATGAGAACCACAACTTATATCGCAATGTATAAAATATAAACACTAAAACTTTGCTCTCAGGGATAGGGAGAGTAGGAGGGGGGGAGTGGGGTTAAAGAAGTTTAGTTCCAGATTTTCAAGAAACTGTCCCAACTTCCAGTGGCCACAGCCATGCCATCTTCAGTGACACCCAGACAACTGACGCGGTTGTCATGCCCAGCGAGAACGCCTGCACGTTCTCCTTTCAGTGTGTCCCACACATTGCAGTTGAAATCGTCGTAACCTGCCAGTAGCAGACGGCCACTCTTTGAGAATGCGACAGAGGTGATTCCACAGATAATGTTGTCATGGGCGTAAACCATGAGCTCCTATAGCAAATGTGAACCAATCAAAAATGCTTTAGTTGACATAGGAAAAACAAGTGCAGAAATCAATAAAAGCCTGGTCAGACAGTAATGTCAACCAGATTTTCAACTGAAGTCCCAAACTGACGGTAGGTCTGATACCAACTTGGAAGACTTCTTTATACATACAGAAAAATGGCTCACAATGTTAACTCTCCTTAATTGATAACCTTAAGCTGTTTTAAGATTTCTAAAGCTCACCTGATCAGCACGGATGTCAAACAGTCTACAGGTAGCATCATCTGACCCTGTTGCAAATGCATTTCCATTGGGGAAATACTGGAATGAATCAAACAAAATAAAAATGAGTGACCAAAAAAGAGGTTTCTGCCTGATTTGCCAATTTTACAATTTACCATGTGAAGCTGAAATGATTAAAACAGCTTGAAACTTACTGCTACTGCATTGATATCTGATTCATGTCCAGTAAATGTTTGTTTACACATGCCATCTGGTATGCTCCACAGCTGAAATATAAAAAGACAAACACAATATGTCATCTAACAACTCTATGACAGACCGGTCAGCACTTACTCAATTTAGCAGTCTTTACTAGGAAAGACAACTCATACTTTCCTGACCATTTTTGAAATATTTCTTATAAATCAAAAGCTGGCTGTATCCTAAGCACCCGATTGAATGAGCAGGTCTGCTATTTTCAGGCTTCCATCAATTTAAAGGTAATTTTGTGCATGTCCAAAATAACTCAAACTAGTGTGACTGAGCCCCTTAAATGTGGCACTAAATGGACCACATTTAGCAGGATGGGAAACATGTCTCTGAAGCTTAACTTGCTCCTCAAAACAAGAAACTGTCAACTTTATTTCAAAAGATTTTATTTCACCAGGGCCTAAAAGTGTAACATAGTAAGCAGATCTGCAAATTTGTCTAAGTTTAGGGTACACATCAAAAGTCAATACCTTCGCCGAAGCATCACAAGCTCCTGATACAAAAGACCTGTTGTCTGGACATAATGATAAACTCATCACATCACCAGTGTGACCACTAAATGCAGTGGTCTGTTGTCCAGTTTCAATGTCCCATAGTGCACTGAAACAAAGGAAAGGTCGTGTAAACATTAATACTCTCCTTACAACATACACTTACTTTTATTTACATTGGGAGAACTTGATCCTTGAACATCAGTCATGACCATACGTTTAGGAAGCGGGAATACTTCTTTCCCATAACTTGCCATCTGACATATCATAAAAAGGTGCTGAAGGTAGGAAATGGAAAAGCAATGCTTTATAATAACAACATACCATGTCATATCTCCTGAACTGGTGAGAATTTGATTGTCATCTGTGAAGCGACAACATGACAGGTAACCTGTTGACAGGAAAAAATTACACACAAACATTAAACAATTTACCAATTTAGTGACAAACTGGCATTTGGTAAGAATCCATATGAAGCATTGTACAGGAAGTGAGAATGTGACAAACTGATGGGCCACAGGCCATTGGCTTACACTTAATCAATTTGCAAATTGAACGAAACATGTAAATAAGGTTACGGTATCTGACAATATAAATTAAATTGAACAAGAAACAGGCTTGCTGGAAATTAACTGGCATAAAAAAAACTACCAATCCATGAGGAGGTCAGTGAATCTTACTTGTTCCTGCATGTGTATTGTATTCTTGGGTACAACTCATAACATTTTCTCCTCATGTAACAGGCATGCAATGCTTCAAATTACATATGCTGTAATTGGAGGCTTGAGGAAATATGGCATTCTGTAATTTGGCTTTCTCCATCTAAGTTTGGGTCAGGGGTTTTAATAACGTTTTCAGCAGGAGGGAAACTGACTTTTCACAGGTGCTCAAAGCTTTTTAAACTGAACCTCTTTGTGAGAAAAACTCTCCTCCAGATAGTCACATCAGGTGGACAAGATCATCCCCACAGCTGGTCAATTTGTCAGGGCCAGGCCTTTACTGAAACCCCTGTTGGTTGCTCAAAGAGTAAGTCTTTACTTTACAATTGTACACTTTTGATGTTAACATACCTGTATGGCCTGGTAACTCTCGGCTAACTCTTACATTTCCTTCTCTTGTTTTTAAACTGTAAATTGAACAGATGTTGTCCAAGCCCCCTGGAGACCAAAAAAGTCAAACTTTAAACATGAAAACATGACAGACTCCACTTATACCAAGCAAATTGTGTGCAAAGNAACTACCAATCCATGAGGAGGTCAGTGAATCTTACTTGTTCCTGCATGTGTATTGTATTCTTGGGTACAACTCATAACATTTTCTCCTCATGTAACAGGCATGCAATGCTTCAAATTACATATGCTGTAATTGGAGGATTGAGGAAATATGGCATTCTGTAATTTGGCTTTCTCCATTTAAGTTTGGGTCAGGGGTTTTAATAACGTTTTCAGCAGGAGGGAAACTGATTTTCACAGGTGCTCAAAGCTTTTTAAACTGAACCTCTTTGTGAGAAAAACTCTCCTCCAGATAATCACATCAGGTGGACAAGATCATCCCCACAGCTGGTCAATTTGTCAGGGCCAGGCCTTTACTGAAACCCATGTTGGTTGCTCCAAGAGTAAGTCTTTACTTTACAATTGTACACTTTTGATGTAAACATACCTGTATGGCCTGGTAACTCTCGGCTAACTCTTACATTTCCTTCCCTTGTTTTTAAACTGTAAATTGAACAGATGTTGTCCAAGCCCCCTGGAGACCAAAAAAGTCAAACGTTAAACATGAAAACATGAAAACATGACAGACTCCACTTATACCAAGCAAATTGTGTGCAAAGACGTAAGGAGACTTTGACAAGTTAATTGTGCAGAAACCAAACATATAGTTCATCACTGAACCACAATTACCATTACTGATTGCAATTAATGCCCTCACAGAAACAATACATTTTAGTTACTGTTATGATGCATCAACTTACCACATGCGACATAGTTTCCCGAGGGAGCATATGCACAAGTCATTACCCAGCTGGATCGTAGAGGTATCGCATGAACCTGTGCAAATACAAAGAAAATGTTGAGGGAATAACATCCTTAGTTCATGAACATTTATCAGTCTAGATCCATTTCATAAGCATCCTGTTTCGAAACCAGAAAGATTGTTACCTTGTTTGTTGTATATGAATCCCAAACAATAAGCTTTCCATCTTGTGAAGCACTTACTAAATTCCTAAAAGAAGAGTAAAATGATTAGAACTTCGGCATCCATACTTGAAAATTGTTGCGCAACTCAGCAAGAAGCTAGAGTACAACTTATAATGATATGCCACAACCTTATACTTATGATACTTGATGATTCAATGGATGAATGGCACAGAAATTAACCGGCATTAATAGCACACCTACCTTGAATCATTGCCCCAGTGCATTGCATAAATTTTTGCCAAGTGACCACGAAGTGTTCTTCTTGTTCTCATTTGTATTCTACCAACTGGTTCGATATTATGTGTTACCTAAGAGAAGAACACAATTCCAAGAATGTTCCTGACAACAGTACAACAAATTTAAGACTTTTTATAAGGGCAAGATCAAACCTCAAAACAAAAGCAACAGCACACAAAAATGCAAGCGCAGTCTTTATATAAGGATGTTAGAACTACAATTAGAAACATGAACTTGGTAAAGAAACCAAATACTTGAACTTATTTTCAGGAAACTTGATTTTTACTCCATAGTTTAAAGAAATGTCATTGCCCGAATTCAAAATTTTGACATCATTATTCACGATGAAATAAACTAGAGGCTGCTATTTGCGTCAACATAAACGGTCTTCCAGAGACTTCAAATGACTTCACAGAAATTCTTGAGGATACCAGGGAGTTATAACATCTGACCCAGTTATATTTATGAAATAACATACTTGGCTCAATGATGTGTCACAAACGGCTTTTCTTGCATCCTGCAATGTAAGAGAAACAGCTTTCATTAATGAGAACGTACAGTGCATTTCTATATTGTTTTAAACAAGTAAACTGATTTTCTTTTTGCCCAAAGATGTCTGCATAGGCCTCTCCACATCTTCTGGTTTCTAGTAGCCTCCAGATTGTTGCTCACAGCAGCAGGTTGATGTACACAACCTACTAAGATGGAAATAAGATTTTCTTGTTCTTAATTTCAGCCTCCTTGTTTCAAAATACCAGCAGCACTATTAGGTTTCCCTTTATTCTGGTTCACCCGATGGGTAGCCACCAATGGGGTCATTGCTAGAGACAGAAGAGGTGGAGGAGGCAGAGATGGGACTGGACATGTACTTTTCTCATTTCCATAAACACACAAGGCCAATATCGCATGTATTTATAGAGATCAAGAGGCAATGGGACAAAAATCTGCCATGTATAAATCATGATCACACAAGGTAATACTCTGCTACCATAAGACTTCCCTCATCTTTGCAGATACAGCCATTTCTCGCTATGTGCTACCATTACTAATGTCCCAGAAAAATCGCCATTCATATATATCTTTCCATTTGAAAAATAATTTGCGAGATTAAACTCCTAAAGATGCAAGTTGCTGGTGTCTTGTGTAGTGTTGATTAGGTGAGATGTCGAGGGTACAAAATTATCAGATCATATCTTAAGAAAATGTATCCTTCTGCCATTAGTGCCAGCCACTCTTCATTTTGTAGGAAATCTGTGGCATTGTACATTCTGTACAGTACTATAGAAAAACCACTGGAATTTTCCAAACAGTTCTTTTGGTGAATGGTGGCAGCTAAGCAAATCAATGATCTCCTAGAGGGACTTTCAAGTTGTAGAAAAGATTGAATGTTCTGAAGTTGTGGCTAAATTTTCAATACATCAGCTACAGAAAATTATTCCTTTGAAATATGAACCAAACATTCAAAACCAATCTGTTATGAGGAAGATAGCAACCATTTTTAAGGGGAACACTTCTGCCACTTTGACTGGAAAGGAAGGTAATTCAAATTCATATAACTACATGGGAGCCATCACAATTTTGTTGATCAAGTCTCTCACTTGGTAGCTTTATCAAATTTTTCTGTTGCTGTTACCACCACAGTGACCAACAGTCACTAGAACTTGCTAGAATGCAACTAATGAAACAACAATTGTCACTTTTGTGTTTCCAAACAATAAACAGTCGACTCTATGAGAAGGCTAAACCCCTGCTTTCAGTTCAAGCTGTTTAGCATGGAGTGTTTAGGCCAAGTACATGTACACAAAAGTGTT